AGCTATTAGGGAAGGAGAACAGCCAGTTCTTCAGAGTCCACTCTTTCCTCCACATTCCTAGAGTCTAGCTCACCATATCATCAGACAAGTAGTTCACTCCTGCAGAAATATTTTGGGATGCAGGGGTAGGGCTTTGGTTAAAAATTCTCAGGAAGCAATTCCCTCCCAAACTCCTATGTTTGCTTGTGCCATTGGCACTCAGATGACTTCTACATCTCTACCTTTCCACAAATCATGATGAAACCCTGGAATTTCACTCAAAAAAGTGTCGTAATCAGTAACACTCTAATTTTTAGATAGGCTAGCTGCTTGAGGGTGTGTAAGGAGAGAAGGCCTCAGTTTCGGTCTGGCTGAAAAAGAACTAATGTGAGCAAATGAGGGACCATGTTCATCTTTAATCATGTAGGAGTTTATAGAAGCAGCACGGGCCTATGCAGAATTGGTTGGGGACATACCTGAGGTGAAATCTTCCCTTTCAAGCGCATGGACTCTTGCTTTTATGCAAGGGTGGAATGTTCAACATCAGCTGACTTTCTTTTATGTTCATGTGTGACCCTAAGAACACCTTAATGCCAACTGGCAAGGGGTATACAAGAATATCATACCAGAATCAGAACATGGAGGAAAGAGTGGACTCTAAAGAACTGGCTGTTCTCCTTCCCTAATAGGTAGGGGATGGGAGTTCACCGAAGAATGTCATGTCATGGTTCACCAATGAATGTCATGTCAGGTATCAAAGAAAAGCTGGTGTCACACTGGTTATGACTATCATCATAAAATTTATGTGCTGCCATTATCTCAGGTGTTACCTTATAGTTTGTATCAAGGTGTTAATCCCCAGAAAAGGTGAAACACTGATTTTCTGCCAGACCAGAGATGTTTATCCATCTACCTATTGAAATATAAACTCAGTATTGTCTCATTCGGAATCAGCAGTCTGAGTTAAGTGAGTGTGAATGCTTGTGAAATTTTACAGGAAGAGAAGAACAGCAATGGGAAAAGAGCCTTATCAGGGGGCGCACTTCAAAGGTTTACGGGACTATAACTGGATGACAAGGAAAGCACCATGTTATCCTGCACCTAAGAAGTAAACAAACAGTATGTTTACATTTATGAAAATGGGATCACAACCAGCCTTGGTTGGAAATGCTGCAGAAGGCTTTTGGTGGAATAAGGCTGTTCAAGACAGGTAATGCACCTATTAAGTTTAGTCTGTAGAAAGTGTGTATTGATTTTGCTTTATATGTAACCCTTCTGTTTCCTTTATCCTTACTCACTAGCTCTTAAATCTTGATCTATGATAAGAAATGTATGATAGTTTTCACTATAAATATATCTGCGTGTTTTGGTATTACATAAGGAGCTGTTCATAAGTTGAATCAAGTGTGTTAGTGTTCCCTTGGGGACAGCAAACCTTGTATTACTGTGAGTTTTCAGTGGATAAGGGCCTGGACACTACAGGGGAAATGCTTCAAAGGAGCTTGGGGACTGGGGTGCACCTACTGTTAACCTGCAAGGCAACATAAGGGCTGGCGTAGACCAGACTGGGTGAATGTCTGGGTGATTAACAGGCTGGTGGTGTCGGGGAGCTGACATCCATTTAAGCATATGCAAGTCTCTTTCTCACTGGAGGTGGGAAGGGGGGAACAAAGTGACTCCCAACCCTGAGCACCCTGAGAACGGTCATATCTTGTTGGTTATTTATTATTTGTATTGTATAGGAACCCCAGTCATGCACCATTGTATTAAGTGTTGTATATGGAGCCTTGTAAACACCGCACAGTATTCCTATTCTCCCTGCTGTCCCCCATGAGTTTATGGTTCTTATATACAACACATTTCTATTATAGATGCTGATAGTACTCTTTTTTTTCTCTCTATAAGCAATGCTTTAGGGCCAAATCCTGCACCCATTGTTCCGTGACAAAACTGATCTTGACTTCATTGGAACTGAAGTGCAAATAAAAACTGATTTCTTCTTGTGGAGCCACAATTGCAGGGAAGGTGATGTTTTTTAAATTGGGGTGCTCAATATTATTATATGTCAGTAATCACATTTTTATTTTAAAATTACATTCATACTTATACTTTCAGTTTAATATACACACATTCTAAATTATTCACTTTCTTTGTCACTGCACTTAAATTACTAAATTGTCATTTAGTTGCTCATTAGTGAGAGTAATTGTCAATATCTTGCCAAATAGCCTGTGTCCACTAGAAATAAGACTTGCATAAATTTAAAAGGGATATTTTGCTGGTAGTCAACGTACCACAATAATTTATGCTATAAATAATCACCATGCTATGGCTAGTAGTGTTTAGGCAGCTGTAAAATGCCTTTTGTGTAACTAGGAAGCACATTTTTATATCATTAAGAAAATTGATGAGAGTTAAATGTTGAGGGAATGCAGGTGGTATATTGTCTGAAACCTGCATAATTTTTACATGCTACTAATGTACTTTTAACTTTAGGTATGGTTTTATAATGAAACTGGTGACTATATTTTAACCTGTTAAATGCTAGAGAAATATACTTCTCAAAAGCAACCAGAGGAAGCTTATTAGAGCTGATCAAAAAATGGGAGGAAAAAAAAAATCTCACACACACAGAAATAAAAATTTTAAAGTGTTTCCATTTTGCAGGGTTTGAAATGGATTTTTCTTCACTTTTTTTTGGAAAAACAAACAAATGGTTGTGTATGCCTCCTTCCTTCCCCCTCTTTGCCACTGAGTGCAATAAAATTCATGATGCCCACTACTGGCTTTTTAGAATCTGTAACTTTTCCATAGTTGAGGAAGTTTTGAAAAGTTACAGTCTACAGAGTGGCAAAAGGGAAAATGGGAAATAAAGAAAAATGAAAAAGTGAAAAAACTCTCTCTCTCTCAATAGCATTCACTCTACTGCCTTCAGTGACAAAAAGGAAAAAGAGGAAGGCATCTATATTTCAAATATCAAAATATTCAGGCTTGGGAAAAAAAACCCCAAAGAATATATTGAAACCCAAAAAGATTCCTATGAAACTTGTTGATTTAGGGGGAAGAGCCATTTCTTTGATCAGAAGAAGGTTTTTGAATTTTTTTTTTATCAGCTCAGACTTGTGCTTAGGCAGGTGTTTGTTTCACACACAAAGGAAAAAAAATAAATAGCGGAAATATTGCTGGTGACTCCTGCCTGGGGAGTCTCCTTTTCACTTGTACTTTCACACCAGCAGCTGGAATTCCTGCAGCAGTCACCTACCCTAGAGTTCCTGCTCTCAGCTTTTCTTTGCTCACTGCTTTCCAGTCAGAGGGGGCAGTAGGTCCCAGGTCTACACTGATTTTGTGGAGGGAAGACTGGTGCTTAACATCAACCAGTTCCTCGTCACAGATCCTACTGCTTGTCCACCTGGCTTCAATCTGCCACATTGTCAGTGGGCCCTTCTTAACTGACTCCGGACTGTGCAGCCAATCAGCACTGTCGAGGTCTTCGAGACCATCCAAGGTCTTCGAGACCATCTGTAGTGCAGATCAAGCAATGATATGCACTGTCGAGGAGTGCCCACTAACCAAATTCAGCGGTGGGCTTCGAGAGCTCCATTTGGCCACTACGAACACTATTACTTGGCTTGGCGAGTACGCAAACGCTAAATAAATACTACTCTTTACAAAGTGACGTTTGAGCCTCTTAACTGAAAGAGACCCGAGCAGGAACCCATACAGATTTCCTTCTGGAGAAACCAAGATCCAGCTTATACAGTCTGCACAGCCGAGCATGAGTTTCCAGGGTTGGATAAGATTTGAGTTCTGATCTTAGGTTTTTCTACTAACTGGTAATAATATTTTTGTGTAGTTCAGAACCATTATTAATGACCAAGATCTTATATCAGTGTGCTAGGAAACAGAAAACTATCATTTCCTAAATTTTATAAATGGAGTACCTGAAAAAGTGCCCAAGGTCATTCCAGGCAGAGGAAGGAGAAGAAACTGGGTTGCTAATGTGACAGAGCCACATCCGCTGTATCACACTGCCTTTTAAAATAATGCCAGGTTTCAGAGTAACAGCCGTGTTAGTCTGTATTCGCAAAAAGAAAAGGAGGACTTGGGGCACTGTAGAGACTAACTAATTTAATTGAGCATAAGCTTTTGGGAGCTACAGCTCAGATAAATTGGTTAGTCTCTAAGGTGCCACAAGTACTCCTTTTCTTTTTGCCTTTTAAAATGAATGTGCCAAATCTATAAGCTGAAAGCCATTGCTGTCACCACTAGACACCAATCTGCTGCTCCCTGAGCTAAGAATAAGAACCCAGGTGTCCAGATAGTGAACATCCCATAACTGCCAAAGTTTGTGTTCCATTCTAATGATTCTTCCTCCACACAGAGGACCACTGCCTACTTCTACTAGTTACTCCTTGAGCTTAAGTGAAAGAGGTGAAGCGAAGGTCCTTGGTACAAACCCATGCAGGGAAAATGGTAACAACGACAGTTCTAGTGCATATACACAAATTGACAGAATTAAGCTTCTACAGACAGGACACACCATAATTATATTTAACTTCCCAGTGTTTGACTTTGCAACGTTTTTAGTGTAGATTTAGTAAATAAATAAAACAAGCCAGCCTCCTCCCCCTCCCTTAAAATTGCACGTATTGCGTGATTCCTGCAAGACTCAGAGCAGCTAATGAATTACAGAGCCTTTCCTCCAGAGGTCTCCAGTTGAAAGCTCAGTAGGGATTAACTGCTACCCTGGAGATAAACAGAGGCTTTCCCGCACTGGAGCTGCGAAGGCTCGTGCCCTTTCACTAGCACTAGCTTAATACTCCTTTTAAAGCTGAAATGCATGGTTACACCCCCCTTGTTTGCAAATGAGTTTATTAAATGTGCATAGGTCAAATCGCTGCACAAAACTCGCCACCTGTGCCCTGTCTGCCCTGGCACCGCCTCTCTGCCCCCCTCTGACTTCTCAAGGGGTTGTTCCCTCTTTGCTCCGCCACCCCTTTTTTCCTAAGGGCCAACTCTTGCCTCAACTGCGGGCTGCTCTGGCGGAAAGCCGCCTGTTTGGGGCGCAGGGCCGGGGAAGAGGCCGAAGCAGTCCGCCCGGGTGAGGCATGCCCGAGAGCCCCGTCTGCAGCGCTCCAACCGGGAAGGGGACACCATTGGGCTGTGCAGGGGGGAGGGGACTCTGTATAGACGGGTTGCACCTTTTCCTTCCCCTTTAGGGACTGATAAACAGCTGGCTGTACAGCCGTGACAGCCCAGGGCGCCGAAGGGCTTGTTAGCCTCCCAGCCTTCAGGTCCCTGGCTGCCCCCGCCGCCGCCGTAGTTTTCTTTTCTTTGCAAACCGAGCAGCCTGACAGGGCGCAGAAGGAAGAATTCCCCGCGGCCGTTCCTGGATTAGCCCCAGTCTCCGTCAGTCACAGCTCGAGCGGCTGAGGCGCCGCTCGCCTCCCTCCCTTTCGTAACAACCGAAAGTAAAAGAGGCCGGGGCGGGCTGCGGGGGGGACGTGATTTGCTGTCATTGGTCGCAGCTCTCTCCACCGGTGCTGTCTCTGCGGCCACGTTCCCAGGCTTGTGAGTACTTTACAAACGTCAGCAACATTGTGTTTCTTTGCTTTCAGATCATTGTATCTTTGTTGTCGAAAGAAGGACTGTGGTCTGCTTCACTTTTCGGGGTGATCTAATCAGTAGTTTCCAGTCCTGCGTTTGCCTCTGATTGCCCCACCGGTTCTTCATAATTGTGCAGTCACCTTGCTGCTGTGGGAAAGACTTACGCAAACAAGGAAAATCAACTGTAGTCAGTGAATGTAACTATGCAGAAAATAGTGCAAAATACACAAAGTAAACGTTGTGAGCGGACGATAAGGAAGTTCCAGTCGTCTTGGGAGCTACTTCTAGCAATGATGGGTTAAATAGAGACAGAAGTGCAGGGTTTTTTAATTGACGGCATCTCTTTAAACCAGGGTCTTTGAAATAGCTTAATGACAAGGTGTAATTAAACATCAAGATGTATTACCATAGGACCCTACAACCTAGATGAAGTCCCATTGAAGTAAAGGGTGCTGGGGCATGCTAGCTCTTTCCAGTGTTAGGACTGTGCTCTTAACGGACCACTATGCTAGATGGGGCAAATGCATTAGTAGTTTTGCTCTTTAAAAAAATGCCTGTTGTATTTTCCATATAAAGATAGTCAAATGGCATGGGTCGCCTTGTTTATGCCTGCAAAATTACTTGGATAAAATCCACAAAAGCAAGAAAATTCACCATATTGTGCCCAGGAAGTGTCTTTGAGGGGATCTCTTCCTCTGTCTCTAGCCTGCATACCTATGCCTGGTTCTTTTAAGATATATTTTATTATGGATTACAATGTCAAATACAGTGGAACATGCTAGTAGTTCTTTGTTATAATAATCAGCTTGTGTTATGTGAATACCTGTCAAATGATCAGCAACGTGGCAGCCCCTTTGGCCATTATTTACGTTTCCCTGTATTTACATATGTCCATTTATTTGCCTCATGCAGGACAGGTGAAATAAATACAAAAGTGATCCCTTTTCATTTTGCCCTAAAATAAGGAGACACTCAATATTATAGTGCAATTAGAATTTAATATAAGGAAATATTCTTTACACAGCAGTAACATTGACCCATGGAATACACTCCCTTGAGAGGTTGTTGACACAAATGTTTTGGCTCGATTTTAAAATAGTTGGGAATAATTTAATTTATAATAAATAATAATTTATACGACTATTAATGACATTTTAACCATGCAAACTAAAAGAACAGATGGAAGCAACTCTCATGCTTTGAGGTATAAACTGATAGCGTGTTGGGATTCAGATGGGATTTCCTATGATCTACACTGTGCATTCTGAAGTTCACTAGCATTGCTCTGAAGTATTGGACATAAAATGGTCAGACTTTGGTGTAGCAGTGTACTATAAATAACTTAGACTCTGAGATGTCTCCTCCCTCTTCATTTGGCAGTCAGCTGGCTTTGTGAGAAGATATGCAAACAAATCTTGAAGCTGTTCAGCAATTAATTTTATGCCAAACTTTAGAACCCTGCCACTTCAACATCCAAAACACTTATAAGTCTTCAGTTTGTTCTGTGTTGACTGCTCCCCTCTACTACATGGTATGGAGAATGAAAACATGGAAAAGGAAGTAGGAGCTGTGCTGAACAGAAGCCTGGCTATGCTGCAGCATTTTCTTTTTCTCAATTTCATCTATCTCTAGTACTTCTATGTTTATAATTATGGAACTCAGCTTCATGGAGCCTGGGTATTGTGGCAGGGGAGAAGAGGAGCCAAGGAAAAGCTGCCCCCTGCCCCCGACATGGCATATTGTCCTGTTGAATTTAGGGTTGCCTACTGTCTAATCACACAAACCCAAACACCCTTGCCTCGCCCCTTCTGAGGTCCCACCCTGCTCACTCCATCCCCCGCTCAATCGCTTGCTTTCCCCCATCCTCCCTCACTTTCACTGGGCTGGGGCAGGGGGGTGGGGTGCGGGAGGGAGTGTGGGCTCTGGGCTGGGAGGTGGGGCTGAGGGGTTTGGAGTGTGGGAAGGGGCTCCGGGCTGAGCCTGGGTCAAGGGTTTGGGGTGCAGGAAGGGGTGCGGGGTGCAAGCTCTGGTAGGGAGTTTGGGTGCTGAAGGGGATTGGGGGGCGGGTGAGGGCTTTGGGAGGGAGTTTGGGTGCGGGAGGGGATGAGGGCTCTGGATGCAGGAGAGAGCTCCAATCTGGGGTTGGGGTGCAGGAGAGGTGCGGGGTGCAGGCTGCAGCTGGGAGGTGCTTATCTTGGGTGGCTCCTGGTCGGTGGCACAGCAGGGCTTAGGCAGACTCCCTGCATGCCATGGCCTCACGCTGCTCCCAGAAGTGGCTGGCACATCCCTGCGGCCCCAGGGAACTCCATGCACTGCCCACGTTCACATGCACCGCCTCCGCAGCTCCCATTGGCTGCAGTTCCCGGCCAACGGGAGCCAGGGAGTTGGCACTGCGGGGGAGGCAGAGTGCAGAGCCACCTGCTTTCAGGAGTGGCATGAGGGCAGGGTAGGCAGGGAACCTGCCTTAGCCCCGCTGCGTTGCCGGAGTGTCAGTGTGTAAAATCTCCCGGTTTGGCTTTAGTAGCCTCCGGGAGATAGGGTGAGAAATCGGGAGGGTTGGCAATGCTAGTTGAACTTGTGTTGCAAAATGCATCTAAATTAGTGCTTCTCAGAGACACTGTGTAGGGAATATGGGTGTTTAGATTTCAGGGGGTGTCAGGGTTTCCTCCCTCTGAACTCTGGGGTACAGATGTGGGGACCCGCATGAAAGACCCCATAAACTTATTTCTACCAGCTTAGGTTAAAACTTCCCCAAGGCACAAATCTTTCCTTGTCCTTGGATAAGTACTGCTGCCACCACCAAGCAAGTTAGACAAAGATTCAGGAAAAGGACCACTTGGAGTTCCTGTTTCCCCAAAATATCCCCCCAAGCCCATTCACCCCCTTTCCTGGGGAGGCTTGAGAATAATCTACCAACCAGATAGGTAAACAAGGTGAGCACAGACCAGACCCTTTGGTTTTTAGGACACTAAAAACCAATCAAATTCTTAAAAAACCAGACTTTATTGTAAAGAAAAAAAAAAGAGTAAAAGAAGCACCTCTGTAAAATCAGGATGGAAGGTAACTTTACAGGGTGATAAGATTCCAAACACAGAGGATTCCCCTCTAGGCAAAACTTTAAAGTTACAAAAAAACAGGGATAACTCTCCCTCTAAGCACAGGGAAAATTCACAAGCTAAACCAAAAGATAAACTAACGCATTCTCTTGCTATACTTACAGTTTGTAAACTTAGAAGCTTATTCCAGGTATGGTTTTAGGAGAGGTGTTTTTTTTTTTTTTTCTGCCTGGTCCCTCTCTTTGTCCCGAGAGAATGCAAAGAAAAGCCTTCCCCCACAGATTTGAAAGTATCTTCTTCCCTTATTGGTCCTTTTGGTCAGGTGCCAACCAGATTATCTGAGCTTCTTAACCCTTTACAGGTAAAGGAGGGATTTTATGCTACCCTTAGCTGTACGTTTATGATGGGGGGGGGGATATCTGGCAAGGCAGAACCAGGGCTGCCAGCTCTTGTGATTTTTGGCTGGCGCCAGAGCCAATCTAGTAGTGATGTGAGAAGCTCCAGCCATCCCATGAATTTCAACTCTGTCCTGGGGAAACCCCCCCTCTGATGGGCTGCTTTCCCCACTGCCCTGTCTCAGGGGGAAAGTGGCTCTGTAGGCATGTTGCAGGAAGCAAGCAGGACTGTCCCCCTCACCACCATTTTCACAGAAGGGGAGGGGAGAAAAAAAGGGAGCATAAAAAGCCCAACAGCTCAGAATGGCACTGCTCCCGCCGCCCCATCTTCTTTTGTGAACGGTGGGGCAGTTCCTCTGCTTCTCAACTCTCCCTCCCTTGCTACACCAGACATAGGAAGGAACAGAAGGGGGAGAAGAGGGACCCCACTGCAGCTCACCCCAGGCCTGGGAGAGTAGGAAGAAGCTTCCTAGGAGCTGTAGGAGGGGCAGGGATGAGGCAGAAGTGGGGGTGAGAACTCCTGCAGCAGGGACCAAATGCTGAATACCTTTGAGAGCACTGGCAATGCTAATTGTCAATACACACAATGGGGATGGGCAGGAAGAGGTCAAAAATCAAGACAGACCAAAACACATTAAAATAATCTCATTTGGGTGAGTGGGTGGGGTCTTGCTCATGATTGTTTAACACTTGAGACTGGCAATACTTGGATTGTGCCTGTTCATTTACTCTGTAAAATAATGAACATATTATTTGTTTATTTAAAAAAAAATTCTGCTCTTGTGAATTTCAGCAGATTGCATGCTCACAAGAATAGACCAGACCTGCAAGAGCTGAGGGCAAAAGAGGCTTAATTTAACAACAAATAAAATTCTGACGCACAGTGTCTACAGAGACCAAGTATAATGTCATTGCAAATTAAAATAATACAAAACAAGGAAAATAATGTTACACTAACGCATACTAACAAGGATATTTTAGTGTACAGAGCAATGTATATATATTTATATATGGTTGGGCAGTTCTGCTTCTTGTTTTTCTATCCAGTCGTATATTTGGTTAGTCTATTATCTGAGCCATGGATTCTCTACTTGGTATGTTTCAGAGTAGCAGCCGTGTTAGTCTGTATTCGCAAAAAGAAAAGGAGTACTTGTGGCACCTTACAGTTAGTCTCTAAGGTGCCACAAGAACTCCTTTTCTTTCTACTTGGTATGATGACTTCGTCTATAAGAATCACCACTATTCCTGCCAGGCATAATGAGTCTTATTTAAAACTCATCAAAGTTGGACCCAGACCCTGTAGCTGCCTTCCTAATTTTTCGCACAAGCCAGCTGACTTTAGGAGATTTCAGAGAATGGAAGTATATGCTCCGCCATAACAAATGAAACCACCATCACTGATGTCAAAAACTGAGGCAGTAAGCCTTAGCTAGAATTAATAAGAATACTGAAATGATTATTTCAAAAATTTTAGCAGCAGATATGAGAATTACTGATTTGAAAAATACAATTG